GGAACTAGATATACTAGATATGTATACACTGTACATAATATCAAAATACTATATCTTCTTTTTATGATGCAAAAAATGAATCAAGATTTGTGAATTTCTTATGTTATGTATTGTACAAACAATTCTGTGCACATATTTGATACAAATGTCAAAACTGTTCTCAGTAAATCCCCACACACCTCAAGAGCACGTCCTGATAAAAAAAAAAAAAAAGAAATTTTTATTTATTTTATTATTTTTGCAGTAGTCAGTATGCTTACCAGAGCACATGTTGTATTTGGGGAGTAACAACAGGTGATGGATCATACGTTAGGGTTGGGGGAAGTATATGGTTGTAGTTTGGTGAAGAGGTTTTGTTGCTTGTAATGGGTTTTATATGCATGTTACGATTCATGTAATATTCAAAGGACTGGGTTAAGTGCTGCTTGATTGCTGAATGATGAATTTAGTCAGTAGATTTGAATTCTTCACATTGTTTTAGGGTAAAGAACTGTGGCCAGCAGTGATTGTTTACTTTGGTTGTTTACATATGCACTAATAATTGGCTTTTTATTTTTTTTAATTTTAAAGTCAACATGAAATGACTCTATTTAATTTATTACATGATGCTGTGCACATTTATTTTTAATTTTTTAATGTTTTCTCTAAATGTAACAATTTGCCTTTCACATTGTTTTAGGGTAAAGAACTGTGGCCAGCAGTGATTGTTTACTTTGGTTGTTTACATATGCACTAATAATTGGCTTTTTATTTTTTTAATTTTAAAGTCAACATGAAATGACTCTATTTCATTTATTACATGATGCTGTGCACATTTATTTTTAATTTTTTAATGTTTTCTCTAAATGTAACAATTTGCCCATCTGCAAAATTATATTAAAATAGGTAATGCAGAAATTTATTGGCTATTAATGTACTAATGTTATGACCCTTTTACGCTAGTGGCCAAAAGTTTGGAATAATTGCTGCATTTATTTGATTCAATTACAGTAAATAGTACAGTAATATTGTAAAATATTATTACAATTTAAAATAACTTTTTTCTATTTTAATATATTTGAAAATGTAATTTATTGCTGTGATGCAAAACTACATTTTCAGTCTTCAGTGTCACATTCAGTGTCGAGAAACATTTCTTATTATTATCAATGATGAAAACAGTTGTGCTGCTTAATATTTTTATGGAAACCGTGATACACTAGTACCATTCAAAATTTTGGGGCAAGTATCATAAAAAATAAATAATTTATTATTTTATTTATTATTGTAAGGATGCATTAAATTGGTCAAAATAACAGTTAATGAAAACATTTATAATTTTACAAATACAAAAAAACTGCTTTCAACATCGATAAGAACCATTATTGAGCACCAAAAATAACTGAAAATCCAGCTTTGCCATCACAGCAGTAAATTACATTCAAACATAAAATAAAGCAGTATTTTAAATGTAATAATTTTCACTATTACTGGTTTTACTGTATTTTTGATCAAATAAATGCAGTCTTGTTGAGCAGAAGAGACTGCTTAAATTTTTTTTTGAAATCTTAATTACTCCAAACTTTTGGCCTCCAATGCTGACTGAAGATCGAATCAATACCTTTGGTATACATGTTTATCATTTAACATGCTAAAAAGGTAAAAAAAAAAAAATTCTAATTAACATTTCATGTTGATTTTAGTTCACAAATTGTAATGTTACTAGTTCCCTGCAGCTCTAAAGCTGATAGTCTAGATCTTAAATCCCATCGCTGAATTGTTTTCAGAGACTTTCAGAAACGAACGAGCTGAGAGTGGCCTCAGGCAGCTGAAGTGATTGTGTTTGTGGTAACATATGTTATTGAATGTGTATATGTGTGTTTGTGTATGAGAGAATTTACCACAAGCCATTTTCTGACAAAACACTTGTGCGTAATGCTGACCATCATGCAAATTTTCATATTTGTTTGAGAGATTATGATGATGGTTGTATGTCAGAACATGGCCCTTTAAGATATATTATCATATTTATATTATCATGAATATTAGGGTTACAAAAGATGGGAGCATTTTCAGTGAATCGCACTGAAACAAGTACAATGTGAACTGAAAACACTGTCTTTGTTTTCTTTTGGCTCATTGGTGATTAGATCTGATTTTAAATACTCGAGCTGAAAGTGATCGTATGTACAAAAATACAATGTCCAGTTGCGAGTTCTGTTCAATTTTGTGTTCTGTGACAACTGTTAACACCTCCTATTGCAGAAAGACTGCTCAGATTTCATCATCACAGCTGATAAATCGAGGACGGCCTCTGTTAAGCCCTGTCTCTGGCACTATGATCTATATTGTAAATAGTCTGTGAAGAGTTGAAATACAGCCCCTGGTGGCTAATTTCGTATAGTGGCCTCTTTCTTGAGGCTGACAATAAACATCAAATAGAGAATAGAGTTGCTGTTTCTTATATGAGCCTCAGAAGTGAATCTTTCTTGTGTGTGCATGTGTGTATAACCCCAGTGTAGATAAAACATGTCACATTTCACACCAAAAATCAAAGCATAGACAAGAAATACAGTTTTGTATGAAGACCATTTTTAGAGCAATTAATGCAATAATTTAATAATTCCTCCTATATATTTTTTTATTGCTGTAAGAATGTAATGCATCTGGATTTTTCACTGTGGTTTGAGTTTATTTAGTTGTAATTCCCATGTGTTACAGCACGAAAAGCTGGATTTTCAGGGCAAATGCTGATATAAAAAATGCAACCAGAACAGGTTATCAGATGCGATTTTGCTCAAAGCCTGCATGAGGATACTAAACACAAACTGAACTCTTGTATCTTTTATATAAATAAACTGCATGGCCTAAAGTATGAGGAAAATTGCACACCACATTTACATGCTCGTTGAACTATTAATTCCATAAACATTGTAACTAATTAGGGAATCGATCCTCCATAAAAGACTCTACCTTTTTGGGAAGGCCTTCAACTAAAGATGGAGCAAATATCATCTCCTTGGACCTTGCATAAGTGACATAGTCATGCAGAAAAGAATACTATACATGCTCATTTAAAGGAATAATTCACCCAAAAATCAACATTTACTGAAGATTTACTCACCCTCAGGTCATCCAAGATGTAGATGCGTTTATTTCTTGATCAGAACGGATTTGGAGAAAATTAGCATTACATCACTTGCTCACCAATGGATCCTCTGCAGTGAATGGGTGCCGTCAGAATGAGAGTCCAAACGGCTGATAAAAAAAATCACAATAATCCACAAGTAATCCACACCTCTCCAGTCCAACAATTAATGTCTTGTGAAGTGAAAAGATGCACGTTTGTAAGAAATGACTTGTGTATTATGATGTTTTTATCAGCTGTTTGGACTCTCATTCTGACGGCACCCATTCACTCCAGAGGATACATTGCTGAGTAATGAGCAATCTCATTCTGACGGCACCCATTACTTATATTGACTTTTTTGTACCCATTTATGATGAGTTTAGTTTAAAAAGCTAAATCATTTCATAATTGTGTCCATACTTTAATTTATGGATTGTGTAATGAGTATATATATTTCTCACAAATTACCATTAAAATGCAAGCAAAACTCAGATATACATTTCCCAATGAGCAGTGTGAGATCGCTGGGTACATGTTTTACATAATTGCCTCTGTGTGCATTGCATTGCAGGAATGTTGACTTGTGTGTGTGTGTAAAAACAAGTATTGTGACAGACAGATACACATCATGTGAGCTAATCCACATGTGTGGAGAAATATATAACACTACATTGCATATTCTTGCATTGCTTCTCTTTTGACTACGCAATTAATGTGTTGTTTCTCTCTCTCTCTCTCTCTCTCTCTCTCTCTCTCTCGTTACTTTTAGTCCCAAGGCTCCAGGAAAGAAGAAAGGAAATTGAAGAAACATGATAAATGAGAAAAGATGAAAAGAACACATTGTGTCTACAGGTCTTACACTCCTGCCCTATTTCCAAAGGAAAAGATGAGGGTTATATTTCAAGTGCCTTATTATGCTCACAATATTAAACTCTGTTATGAAAGATGGTACTTCTAAACTGAACTGTGCTGACGTACTTTATGGTACCTCATATTTATGCTGATGCCTCATTGTTGTGCATTTGATATTGTGATTGACTAGTTATAATACTAATGTAAACAGATTTTGTGTTTTGAATGCTGGAACTGGGAAAATGAATGAAAATCCTCATCATACTTGGAATTCAAAAGGTGCTGCCTTATAATGAAATCATTTCTAGGCATTCTTAGTATAGTATTGCTTTTTTTACTAAAGTGTTTTGCCATATTGTGTGTTCATTAATGCTTTTTGTAATAGTGCCTTGTGCTTTTTGTAGTGCCTTATACATTTCATCTGTTTTATGTGTGAGAGTATCACATATACATAGAAAAGTCAAGCAAACTTTATTTTCTTCAAAGTGCACTTTCAGATTTAAACTAATTTATGTTATATATATAAACTGCATTTCTGACCTAAACACATTGTGTAAGTGTAGTTACTGTGTTCTTTTTGTACGAGTTTTGTTTTATTATATCTGTATTTTTATTGTCTGAGCAGTGAAATGTGAAAAGCAGTGGGCTCTTGAACATATAATTGCCTTATGTCACTATTCAAGAGAGTATATCTAAAACTAAATGTTTAATCATGGCAGAAGATAAATAATTATTGTATTTATGTATGGAATAAACATTGTTTTGAATGTGATTTGCAATGTGATATGTCATTATAATAGCGTGTCCAATTTTCCACACAATTCACATGATATGGGCTTTGCATCTGACAAGATTTTCTCAAATTAATGGAAAATAAGAGGAATTACTAAAAAAAATTAACTTTTATTTATTTTTAAAAAAAATTTTTAACTTTAATTATTAATATATATTTTGTCATTTAATTTGATTAAACAGAGACTTTTATGCTAGCATTTCCCGGTTTTGACGCGGAAGTTGTCACATGTAGAATGAGTTGGCACACAAGCCGGAAGTAGATTAGTGTGGGGTGGGATCAGGGTGCTGCAAGAGTTTTGACACATTCCTGCAGGCCTTTCTGTGAATATTTCTGCTTTTACGTCAAATTCTGTAAGTTCTATTGCAATTATTTAATTATTTACACCTTAGTCATAATCAGCGCTCTTATGAACGCGGTTAATTGTATGTGTACCTCAAATAATGCGAATTTACACATGTTGTGCTGCTCTGACAGATACATGTTTATGTATGTGTGTTTGTTTACATTATGTATTCCCATTATTCATACGTGTGTGTGTATATATATATATATATATGTGTGTGTGTGTGTATATGTGTAT